CCAGGATGAGCCCCTACAGCCTGGAGATCACAGTGAGGTTCCCATGCAAGTATATCACATCCTTGGGCAGAAACATTCCACTGAGCTCTGATCTGCTCGGATCTAGACATCGGGATCAGTTGGGAATCTGCTCGGCCCAATCGGTTTACAGCCCAGCACTGGAGAGGGTAGTGGTGGGAGCAGGGACTGCTTGTCTCACCCAGTTTCCACAGCCAGCCCTCGCGGTCGGGGTTGAAGAAGGTGTGTGTGACGTCATCCCCGTCGTCCTCTGGGATTTTGAAGGGCTCGTTCCGGATGCCCTCGTACAGCTTCTGCTCAGACAGACGGAGAGAGGCAGAAATAGGTCCACATGCCTAACAACTGTGTTTTCCCATCACCCTGCGCGGGGAAGGGCACAAATACCGCCAAGCCGGAGTAGGGAGATCCCAGGGCATGTTGACTAAGGCTATCTTAAGGAGATTCTTGTCTGGACCACATTCCCCAGGAAGGCTGTGGTCCTGCTCTCCCAGGCTCCCGGCCGCGAGGGGCCAGCTCTGGACACAGCGCGGTCCATGGGGGCGAGGTGCTGCTCTTCCTGTCTGCGGGGGGGGGCGGAGACGAGCGGGGCTTACCGACAGCAGCTCCTCGGGCAGGTCCCCTCCGTTGTTGATGCCCCTGTTCATGATGATGAACCTCTCCACTGTCATCTTGTCCTTGACGTTGGGGTTGTGCAGGCTGGTGTTCAACATGATGACGGCGAAAGACAGGATGTAGCAGGTGTCTGAAATTATAGGGGGGCATAATCTTAGCTGGGGCAGTTTGTACTCGAGAAACCTTAGTTTAAAGTGGCATGGAGGGGCGGGTGATTATTTAAAACCTGGTGAGGGTCAGAGGCAGGCTACTTCACACCACCTACATCCTGGTCCTGGACAGTCCTGTGTCTGCAGGTTTTTATTCCAGCTCAGTTCTGATTGACAAAAATCAGCACATAATTGGCTTTACGAGATAAATTCTAGCACCGTCTCCCAGCTCTGCAGGTGCAGCTGCTTTAAGGAGACTTGGAAAAGTTTTTAGTGCAGCACGGTGTCAATCAATTAAGTCATGTCTGAGACCCTGAGAGGGCAATGGGTCCAGATCGGTTGAAGATTCTTGTCTGGACCACATTCCCCAGAATGCCTTGTGGACTGAGCGCCTGCCCTCTGTCACCTGACTGCTTGGAGCAAGACGATTGGTCAGGCATCAATTTAAAAGGCAGGAAGCTCAGAGGTCCTATAGTCAGTTACCATTTTGCCCTGAGGACAGAGGGCAGATGCATCTCTGGATATGAGGAAAGTAAGTCAGAGACTGGCTGAGCACCTATAAGCTGGAATCGTTGAAGAAGTGCACCTGAGGAGGCCCAGAGCTAGACCAAAGTATTGAAGAGTCTCAAAGAGTAACTGAATGCTTTCAGGTTGGTAATAGGTGTCCAATAGGTGAGTCAGGGACATTCAAGTAGTCTAGCAAGAAACTCAAAAGGAGCTCTGGGCTTTTGTTTGGTTTGTGTCAATTTTGTTTCTATGCACTGTAAACAAAAGACCGCTTCTTAAACTATCCCAGCGCGCAACAAAATCATAGATCACCGTAAAGCCTATTACAAAACCCCTTTAAAGTACGCCATACTGCCCCCTGGTGTTACGGAGGTTAGCATGCAAACCTGTAGACTGGAAGACACTAGAGTTGCATTCACAGTAGCGTGTGGCAAAGGCCTCCATCATCCTGTCAATTTTCTGCGCCTCTCCAGGGAGCCGGAAACTCCACAGGAACTGCCTGAAATGAGCAAACGTACAGGCAGGTTAGCTGGAGGCTGACACCGATACGACGGGTATGACGACATCTATTCCCATTCCTGGGACACATCGGGGCCACACTGATTACTCAAACCACCGCCCGCACTGCTACTGCAGGGGCTCCTCATTATTCCTGGTGGATGACTGACAGGAAAAAACAGTATAATGAACTTATTTCCCATTAGAATTGACGAGTATACAGATTCAGCATGATAAATATTTAGAATAACCTCGCCGTGTCTCTTCACAAAGACGAGAGGGTCGAGAGGGGAAACGCTAGGCATTGTGGGAAAAGAGCTGGCGTGATGTCACGTCCCCCACAACCGAAAACGGAGCAAAGACTTTTGGGAGCGCTCTGACCGTGCAACACGACAGTGCGTGCGGTTGTCGGCAAACCCCCCCCCCCCCAAATCCCCAGGGATCAAAGGGTGTTGAAAATTGTTCCTTAATGGAGGATGGGCTTATACAATAAAGAACACAAAAAGGGACATGACTAACGAGTGCCGCCTGTACCACTATACTGTGACTGCTCCACTTAGTTCCACAGGGATAAATACCACTATCCCTCAGATAATTATAATAATAATAATTGCTCACACTTATATAGCGCTTTTCTGGATACTCCACTCAAAGCGCTTTACAGGTAATGGGGATCCCCTCCACCACCACCAATGTGCAGCATCCACCTGTATCTGCATTTATGTATCTGATTGTCAGAGTGTTTGTGATCTTACAGAATTTCTAGTTCTGTAAAAGTACCTCTTCTGACGCATCTGTTTGCGTGTGCCATGTGCGCGATGACCCACCTCAGTGCCTGCACTAAGTTGAGGTCTGCAAACTCGTGGAGCTCCACAAAGGCCTTTAAGATTTTGAGATGCATTTCCTCCCTGTGAAGAAAGTAGAAAGGAGACCATAGGAGTGGTTTCTGCTGGGAGGAGCCCCAGCTAGTGCTGAATCGCGGATTTAATCCCTCTGTGTGCCATCAGATCCCAGTTTCGGCTTCAACAACATGGTGCAATGGGTTCTCCCAGAAGCTCCTGGCTGACGTCAAGGAAACCCCCCTATTTACAGTGCTACATGCACCTCTTCTCAAATTCCTCACTGGGAACTTCATTCCCTTTCTGATCTAGGAGCAGTCCCCTGAGATGATTTTTGTCCACGCCTTAATAATAATAATACCGGGGACATTTGGAATGCAAGAATGAATACTGGTGAACCCCTGCTCTGCTCAGTTTTGCAGAGGTCCAGTTCCTGTAACGTCTCTGTGTTAAAGGTGGAAACGCATACAAGATGCAGAGAAGATGAATTGGGGTGCTGCTGTTAATGGTGTTGATGGTCCAGTAGGTGGTGCTCTTGTCTCTAGGCTACAGCTTCCAATCCAATTGGACAGTAAGGTGACAGGTCATAAATAAAACCCATAAATTAATCAGGGTGTTAATCCCAGTGTCCTGACTAAAGTCCAGTTGGATCCTACTCAATGTGCCCAACTTAAATTTCCTCCTAAATTGAACTAGTGAAGTCATTTCCTCAATCCACCAGTTGATCTGCTGCGCTGTGGGACTGCTGGGGCAGAACATGTGCTTCCATTTCCAGCTGGCTCTTCCAAGAGGAGAATGAGCCCTGGCCTATAGACCACCTAGGGTGTGCCCCAGCACTATAGCACGTTGTCATGGTTACCTCTCTCCCAGGAAGTCCCCGATGGCTGTCTTGTTCAGCCCTTCCTCCCTGTACAGGAAGTCAGCCACTGTCTGCGGATTCCACTCCAGGAGTTTGTTATTGATCAAGTACTGGATGCCCTGGACAGAGGGAGAGAGAAGAGAGAAAACAGGGGGACATATTTCTTAAGTCAAGCTCTCTGCCTGCAGCCTGAGACAAATCAAACCTGTGCCTGCCCGGTGTAACTCCGCAAGCCCTAGGAAAGGTATCGGTCTGGTTTAAATCGATGATTCCCAGTTTCGTTGGGTGTTCCAGCAATATTCTGGCTTTCCTTCCAGCAGAGCTCTTAATTTAATGTAATGAACCTTTTATTAAACCAAATAATGGCTTAACGGTTTTCTGGACTCAGGGCATAGTCTGACACTGGATCTTCCATGACTGTCATTACCACCATGCAGTGAAACAGCAGCTCCCAGCTTGACAGATCTCTGCACAGCCCCACCTGTTCAGCAGTGAATGTAGTGCAAACACACACACATGTGCACGCGCGCAGACACACACACACAGGTGGGAGAGATGCTGTCAGACGCTCTCAGTGCTGTGGGGCCCCACTGGTGCTGTTCAGCCCCCTCACTGAGCCAGCCAGCCTGGGAGAGAGGTGAGTCCCAGCGCCTGGCTCACCGCTGCAGCTCGGGGGCCTGACGAGCTCAACTGAGAGAGCTCCGGTGGACTGAAAGCCAGAAGACACAGGACTGGAGGAGACGGGTGTAAAAGACGAGGCCTTCTCCACTTGGATCCTCACCCTGGACTCCGAACCTGCACAATGACCTTTCTCTTGCCAGGAGACACACCTCCCACAGGGTGCATGACTTCTCGATACAGAGCCTCTCATGAGAAGGCAGATTCACTTGCAACAACACGTCAAGCAAATGAAATACGAGCCCGGCATGGAAAAAAAAAGATTTGGTTTTGTTTTGTTTTCCCCCTAAACTGTCTAAATGAATGCACAGCCGGTGGGGGGAAGAGAAAGGAAGAAATCTCTGTGTGGGAAGCATGGGCAGGCTACCCTTTAGTTACGTAACGCTGCTGTCGAGCACAAGCCTGCTCTGCGTCAGGTCTGCTCCGTGTGTTTTACCATCTGTCCAGCGTGCTTGTCGAAACGCAGGGCGTCTGCCTGTGAGCAGCTGAATATCTGCCTCTGCTCCTTCACCGCAGTCCCACACTGAGTCAGAGCGCTTCCGAGTGTCAGTCAGCAATCGCTTCCTATCCAGCAGAGCAGGACTGATCAGACGTGATCCTCAGGCTTCCCGGTGTCAGTCTCCAGACACGGCAGCGCTCCGTTCCACGCGGGCGAAGATCTTCGATTTCGCAAAGAAATCTCTTCTTTGAGGGTTGTGGTGCGAAGCAGCAGGAAAGCGGTTTAGTCTCCCAAAAACACAGCCCAGTGAGAGGGAACCGGGCCGGACCGAGAACCCGAAGAGGAGGCTGGCGCCCCCTGCGGCCCGCATTCTGCCTTTGTGGCTGGGGGAGGCAGGGTGTCATGTCGCCCGCCAGCCCACAATGCACAGTGCCAGGAAGTTCTCCGTTTCTGAAATAACAAGTGGCTGGCGTGCCTGCTGTCCTGCCGACGAAACCACAGCGCCTCAGGCCCGTTCATGCAGAGCGAGGTGATGTGCGTCTTCCTTTCTTCTTAGGCAAGACCCCCGCAGGGGCAGAGAGAAACCGAGGCACAGGGCGCCGCTCCACTGCCCTTCACCCTGCGGCGGCATCGCTGCACAGAACCCACACACCAAGCCCTGCGGCACCCTGCCACCTCAAGAGCAAGACGACAGCACGTAAAACCCGCTTATCAAACCAAATCTGAAGCACTCGGCAGAAGCTTCGCTTGGCGTTCGTGACAAGATGACACATAACTAACAGACATCACAAATAACATCCAGGAATAAAACCTCTGGGCTTTCAGAAGGTTGGAAATGACCGAAATCGTTTCAGGAACGTCTCTCTTCCCAGGACACGTACTGCGACCCTGAGCTCGAGCGGAACGAGGGAGGAGCCCGGAGCATCGTGGGAAGACACGTGCAGGGAGCAGCGACATCCCTCCGGAGGGAAATAAGAGCAGGCGGAACGAAAGGACAGGAATACCCCCGCTCCCAGTGCAGGACAAACCGGCCCCCCCCCCGACCAGGGGGAACTGTGGGACCGGACCTCAGGGGAGGAAGGCAGAAACAGCAGGAGGAAGGCCGAGGAAGCAGGGCCAGACGGCTGTGTGGAAGAAGCTGGGGCCGCCCCCCCCCCCAGCGGTTTATCGATAAAGGCAGAAACGGGCGGGAGAGATGGGCGGCTCGCCCGACACACGAGCGGACAGGTGTCTGGCTGGGGAACTGGAAGGGCAGACAGACGCTACAAACGTGGTTACTGGGCTCGCCCTCCCCTCTGCTGGGGCGCAGCTTCCGCTCGCTCTGAGCAGGAAGGATGTGGCTCGGCGCTGACAAAGCAGGTGAAGTCCTCGCCTGCCGTTTGCTGACAGCGGCACAGCGAGAGGCCCTTTTCGCTCGAAGATGCAGCCCGTTGCGCTCACCCGCCCCCACCTCACACACACACACCCACGTCCACACAGATAGGTCACGTAAAGGTCTTGGTGCTAGCACCCTGCCACCGGGACAAGAGCTAACCGGACAGGCCATCCGCTCAGCCCGGAGGTTTCCGGAAGTCAGGGGAAAAGTGCGGGACTCGGAAAGCACAGGCGCGAAGAGGGAGCACGGTCGGAACGCGAGCTGACCTTCTTCGGGTCCATGTTGAACTTTTTCTTTCCGATCGCCACTTGCTTCTCCCTCTCGATCGTTTTGCTGGAAACAAAGAGAAGCAGGTGAGCAAGTGAACAGACCAGCGGGCAGGTGTACAGACTAGCGGGCAGGTGTAGGGAGGGACAGACAGGTGTACAGACTAGCGGGCAGGTGTAGGGAGGGACAGACAGGTGTACAGATCAGCGGGCAGGTGTAGGGAGGGGTAGACAGGTGT